AAATCCGCCGAAACGTCAGCTTAATCGTGAACAAAGAATAGTAACACCTCGCGTTTGCTCAACAAAAATACGAAGAATATGTATTCTTTCTTTGATGATCTTACACGAGGTTGAAAATGATGTCTATTCTCGGCCAACGTTTCGACGTCTTCGTCTTCCTCAGAGCCGATGATCCGAGTCGATGGTCCTCGTTTGTTATTCGTCTCGACGCGGCAGCTCCGCCTTCGTGTCGAGTCAGGTCTTCTTCAGTGAGCCATCTCCTCGAATGAGGCATCCTTACTCAGTGATGCCCTTTTATACACGATGCTGCTGGTGGATATAATGATAATGTCCGGTGATAACAACTTGTTTTTCTTCCGGACATAATTATCGCACACATCGTGCAGAAGTCGGTGTTTTTATCAGCTAGCACAAAGTGTAGTAATATTTCGAAACCGACTTTCCTTGAACCTCGGTATCACTAATCAATATGTATTCTTTTTTTGATGAGCTTACACGAGGTTGATAATGATGTTTATTTTCGGCTAACGTTTCGACGTCTTCGTCAAGGACGAATAACAAGCGAGGACCATCGACTCGGATCATCGGCTCTGAGGAAGACGAAGACGTCGAAACGTTAGCCGAAAATAAACATCATTATCAACCTCGTGTAAGCTCATGAAAGAAAGAATACATATTAATCGTCATTTCCTTCGAACTTTGTAAAGGAAGCGGTCACATACTAAAGCCGAAAGGTTAAGATGCGAAAAAATACAAATACCCTAATGTTAAACTATTTTTGGAGAAGACTTAATTGCTACTTCGATACAATTCTTGGTTCAGCACTTTTTCTTTGGTTATGGAGGTGTGTGACTAGATAGATTACATTTGACCTCACCTTTCCAGGCTTTGTGGAAAGCGAAATCCGCCGAAAAGTCAGCTTCATCGTAATAAGGAACAAGATAACATCTCGTGTTTGCTCAACGATATTATAAAGAATTACTTCAATACATTTTGAGATAGAAAAACGTTTAAGATGGCAGAAAAACGTTTGAGATTCTTTCAGGATGTTCGATCGAGGTGACGCTATCCGATCCACGACCTATTGGAACTCGTCCAAACAGCATCGGAGCGGCAATGAGAGATGGCCCCGTCCACTACCTCACCGAATTTGCTCTTGGCTACAGTGTTTTAATGGTTAGAGGGCTCCTTCCTTTCAAAACACAAAAGTACACATACGATATAGGAAAGCTGACGCAGTTCTATTTTCTGCTAACAATCGATAAGGGCGCGTGTGGCGCAGTGATCCGAGGCGCTCTGCAACACACACGTGGAATCGATCCTCGCGCCCATGGCCCACCAAGCTCTCCATCCCTCCGCGGTCGGCAAACTGGTACCAGACTTGTCTGGGAGGATAGCAGCACTGGCTCGATACAACAATAGGCCACTGCGATTCATGGTAAAAGCCAGATATGCATTGAATCACCAAATGATGCTTAATGAAGTAGAACGCATGGCGCATCACTCAAGGATAGATTAACGCCGTGAGCTTTATCCTTTATCCTTTTATTAGCAATCGATATTCTTATAAATATGGTAACGCCAGCGAAGACGATTCAAGAATTGAAATTTTAAAAAGTCGAGCAGAAAGAGAATAAGGGCATGTAATGTCTGAAATGGTAAGCTCTTCTGTTTAGTTCCTGTAGTACAACTTAAAAATTTTGCAACCGTAACCAAATGAAATCGTCATTACAGTTTCCGTCAATCCGATCATTGAACCAGTCAGAACCAAAGTCGCTGATTACGCTACCGTATCCATTTCATGGCACCGACAATACGGTGTTCAACGGGATCATCTACTATAGCTATAGTGATACTGTAATTGCATTTAATATGAACACAGGAGAAACGAAAGAGATCCACCTGAACATTAGCGAGGTGAATATGCGAATTTCAAGGATTACATGGACTCATAAGTCTTTAGAAATATTAGATTATTTCTCTGATTGCTTAGGTTTCTCTTTACAAAAACTCGAACTCATTCGTTGATCTGCAAGCTGACGAACATGGAGTTTGGGCTCTGTATCGCCAGAACGATGGAGAGCACCTAACAGCTATCCGTATGCATCCAGTCAGCTTAAAGGTACCATGTGTATCGCCATTATCACTTTATCGTGTTGACGCGAACATAAACTTTATCCGCTGCTTTAGAACAGGCTCAATGGGCTCCTCTTACATGCTACAGACACGAATACTCCACCACTTTAACATGAAGCCTTTCTAAGCTGGAGCAATAGTAATAAATGGCTCACATGACACTACAATGGCGTATATTTGCTCTCATCTTTGATTACCAGCAGAAATGTCATACTGGTCTATAGCTGCAGTGTGTTAAAGGGTGAATACGTACTGTCTATGGCAGTTCCCCGGTGATACGTCCCAGCCAATGATTAAACAATAAACCATCTGTGGCGATGGAGCAGTTTAACGACGTTGCATCTTAAAGTATGCGGCTTGTTTTTTTGTATTGCGTGCAGATTTCTAGCTTTTTTTCTTCCCTGTTACGAGGTCTTCCTTTTATTATGCCTCATTTCCGGTAATAAAGGTTTGGGCAATTAAGCCTTCATATGGAAAAAAAGTAAGTAAAACTTGGGCAATCAAACCATAATATATAAAAGGAACTAATATAACAACAACAACAATATAGCGATATCAATGCGCAAAGATAGTGCAAAAAGGAAATACTTACATTATTACATTAAGACTGTCAGAAAATTCTGTAATGTACCGATGTGGTAGCACGAGGTAAAAGCTCTCGGAGTTGATCAATCCCTGAGGTGCACTATGCATTCGACTTCATTAAGTATCGGAGGTGAATGAATGCATATCTGGCCTTTACAATGACTCACGGTGGCCAACCGATGTATCGAGCCAGTGCTGCTATCCTCCCAGACAAGTCTGGTACCAATTTGCCGACCCCGGAGATATGGAAGGTTTGATGAGCCGTGGGCGTTAGGATCGATTCCACGTGTGTGTCGCAGTGGCGCCTCCAACCACTGCTCCACACCCGCCTCTAGCAAAAGGAATGAGAGGCAGAGAAATAGAAACATTATCCACCTGAGAAGAGCAATGGTCAAGTGCAACAGGATTCTAGAAAGAGTGTGTCTGCAAGTCAATAATGACTAGGATATTTGGATGGCCCGTCTTCACTGATGGTGCGAGAAATAGCATAGTTTTCATTCGTTTCTCTCTCGCGCAATCATTGTCCATGATGCTGGTCTGCTTCGAACATGATGACCTCGATGAGGCCATTTCCGATTTCTTAAAAGCTTATCGATTAGCTAATGCAGATGGTTGACGTTAGCCAGAAATACGTCCGATGTCGTTTGGTTGGTCAACCAAGAGAAGACTTGTACTCTGTTGGAGGCCACTCTCACTATTCTTTTTCTCCATCATTCAGCTGTTCTTCTCCTTAACTGATTGGTTCATCTGCGTTTTTCTACCGATAGATGTATATCGTTCTGAATCTTAAAATGGGATAGGTTTCGAAGATCTGAGCTGCTGCTCCCAACATTTTTTTTGTCTGTACCGATGTAAATGCTGTTGTAAAGATTTTTTGCAGCTAGGATTTAAAATCCTTGTTAGGTTCGTTGCAGTAGGATCAAGCTTTAGTTTTCTTATTTTTTCGAGCAACTTCTTAACGATAATGGAGATGCGGTGTGATCTTGTTTGGAGAACAGTGGGCAAGCTTGGCGCAATGTTAAGTCCTTCGGCAACAGCTTGTGGCCCTCGGTCGAGTGTACATTTATCTTCTAGTAAAAAGAGGAGTAAGAGGAGAGGATTTTACTCAGAATATACTCGTCATACACGACTTGTTTCGTTTTTCTTTGGCGATGATATGAGTCCTTTTCCAGCTCATGGCTAAATCGGATCCTTGAACGGAGAAGGCGGCGATTAGATCCACTGCAACCACTCTCTTTCGCTAGAATATGGCTGATCACCGTATGAATCGTGCTGATAGGAGGCTACCATGTTCATGGACGTCTTTCTCACTTCTCGAAAAATGAATTCACTTAGAGGAGACGTATTGTGGACAAGAGTCCTATAAAACGATTTTCATCTTCATTTTGTTTCCTGCTTTGAATTTCTTTATCCTGTAATCGTTTTTGTCGGCCGTTCCTAATCTGTCATTGAAGCATCCAACAAACATTTACTGAAACGCTTCTCGTTGCGGATTACTTAGATTTATAGAACGCACCCAGTTTTCTTTCATCAGCCCTACATGTTGGTGAATAGTAGCCGATTTTATTGACTTTCTAGCGCCGAAATTGGATAATGAACGAACAAGTGCAGTGGTAGAGTTTAGCGTATGAGGTGACTAGATGGGAAATAGTTGGGTGTAGGACGAAGCCAACGCGTTTGACATTTCGTAACGGAAATTTTCTGCAACGAATGAGCAACAACCAATGACGAGAGTTCCGTCATCTAACTGGCGCATATCGACTTGTCTGCTTTTCCTCTCTTGTAGGAGGTGGGGTGCTCGTTTTGTCCGTTCCCAGTGACTTTCTATTGAAGTAGAGATTTGGTGGCCTTTCACCGGTGGTCTCACTGCCTGATTTCGCTTACTGGAGCACCCATTATGAGGGTTACTGAGGCTGGAGCTCTGCTGCTTGAGGCAATGTGGCTTCCTGGAGTCTCGAAGTCAGCCTAGCCGTAGCCTTTCTCAGGTTGCCACCACTGAAGGTAGTAGCCGGCCCCTGTAGATTAAAGGTATCTGGCATCTTGCGAAACAGTGATGGCAACTGATATTGGTTTGCTCTTAGTTGTAATTCCGCCTGGAAACGTCGGACTCCTTCTCAGACCCTGATGGGGTAATGAACGCACCGCTTCGATACCCAGGAACACCTCCCAGCCATAATGATTCGGGAAACCTTTGAAAGGAATCAGTAGCAATTTTCATATGCAGTTCTCATGATCAACTTTCTACTAACCGCGGCAATATAAATGTAAACAATCGCGAGATTGTTATTCAGCACACGTTTATTTTCTTACAAAAAGAACACATACAACACAATGGTAGCTGACATCTTGGCAGTATCGCCTTCTTTAGAGCCTGGAAGGGTACACTGATATGTAACTTATCAGGTCAAACGCTTCAACAGCACAAACAGAAAGATGAAAATCTCAACGATAATTACATGATCACCGGTTTCTCGAAAAGCCCACGGTTTTTCACCTGCCTTCCACTGAAGAAGAACAGTCGCTCAGAGTTGTATATGGCTGATAACTGCACGACACTACATCAAAAACCAATTCTCAGACACTGGACTAGATCACGTGTTATGTCTGGGCATTCTTCCCTGCTATTCAATCTCAAATTCTTAGAATTCCTTCCAAAAGCGTTGAGAAGTTCGCGCTGGTGTTTTGGAATCCTGTGCGAGGATAGCGATCTTTATATCGAAGTCGTCTCCGCTATGCTTTTGTATTCTATGCGTCCCTAGTGATATATCCTGTCTTACTTTTTGTTTAGCATCTAGTTGTTCTTTTATACGGATATATAATGGTCTTCCCGTTTCACCAATATATTCGTCTCCGAAAGTACTACAAGAGATCAGGCATATCGTACCTGAACCCACGCAGTCACCGTTTTTCGAGAAGCCGGTGGTCGCGTAATTATCTTCCAGATTTTCATCTTTCTGTTTGTGTTGTTGAAGCGTTTGTTCTAGTAAATTACATGTTAGTGTACCCTTCCAGGCTCTGAAGAAGGCGATACTGCCAAAACGTCAGCTACCATTGTGTTGCATGTGTTCTTTTTGTAAGCAAATAAACGTGCGCTGAATAACAACTTCGCGATTGCTGAAAAAGATAACAACATCTTCATAATTCCGCTTTCGAACGTGCGATCATATGGCATTTTCGAAACTGCGTGTTGATGAAGGTCCTAAAGTGCATGCAAAGCGCAGTGATGAAGAGAAGAACAATGATTCTCTATACAGAGCAACTCACGTGATGTGGATGGAGCATTCCGACGTTTGAGCAAGGATGGCAGAGTGCAAGGATATTTTGAAATCGATATATGAGCAATCAAGAGGAACTTACAACATAGGTCAATCCTATAATACAGTAGACTACAGTAGTTAGGTATACGACACTGTGCAAAGCGCATAATAAACACATGATTGTATTAAAAAATACAGAACATTCTCTTCGAGGTAAAGAATAGTCTCTATACCGTTCCCACTAATGATCAGCAGCTCTTCTGGTCTTACACAATCTTGAAGGATGAAGGATAAAGCTGTCGGCATTGATCAATCCATGAAGGATGCGCCATGCATTCAACTTCATTGTGCATCGCTGGAGGTGATTGAATGCATATCTGGCCTTTATAATGACTCGTAGCGGCCTACCGATGTATCGAGCCAGTGCTGCTATCCTCCTATAGAAGTCTAATACCAATTTGCCGAATCTGGAGGGATGGAAGGCTTAATGGGCTATGGGCGCGGGGATCGATTCCATGTGCGTGTTGCAGGGCGCCTGCGACCACTGCTCCACACGCACCCTTACGTAGTCTTGCATAGTAACAAACATGGACTTCTGAACATTTCGTTGGTGGGGATAACTTTTTTTTAGATACTTTCAAGCTGGCCACTATCCACAATTCATCCGAATCGTTTGTGCAACGCTGTTATTCGCTGCGGTTTACTATACACAGTGGAGTGTGCCGAAAACAAAGTGATAGTGTCTGCAGTTTACGACTTCTACGGCAGTATGTACGTAAACGGCAAGAAAACGGTTTGGAAAGGTATTGTATTTCGTTTTGTAGTTCATAAATGTCGGTCTACTAGTAACGAAATTAAAAATAATTTCGTAGATGTAATTATGTTCTGTGAATAGTCTCTTCAGCAATTATCGATCGGCTGTGATTATGCTTATGCAGGCGATATAGGCAGGGTAACGTTAAATTAAAGTATTAACTACTGTTTTTACTCCTTTTCGGTTCCACTTTGCTTCGTTGGTCACTAATATAGCACCAAGTTTCTCCAGATATGGTCATAAACTTTGGCCAACACAATCATTGATGGCTGTCGACTACGTAGGCGTAATAGAGGATGTCAAGGGGCGGATAGCATAGTGGTAGTGATATAGGTCGTAACGAGAATGGTGCTAGTTTGATCCAGCTCCAGGCTCGCCAAGCTTCTCATCGCTCCGGAGTCGCGGAATTGTTATTGTGGGCGTGCCCGGGAAAAATATCATCTTCCAAACGGAGCGCTCTAGCCCGGTTAGCTCAGGACACCAATTAGAATCGACTCGACTCCACCATCATTCTTCAACATTTAAGATGAAGTGGAAATCCTCAAGCAGCAACCGAAACCGCATGTAAGAGTGGAAGACCTTAGCGAATTGTGCATGTGAGGAAACGAATCGAATGTAGGAAGTTGTGGGAACCGCACAGTAGATGTGAAAAAGGTGGAATGAAATGAAATGAAATGAAAGAATTAATAGAGGATGTTCACATAAAAGATTGACAACAATCAGAAGACCGCCTAATAAGCAACAGTGATGGATTGCCGACAAAAACGTTTACACTGCCAACAATTACTGCAATAAAAACTGATTTTTCAGGTATGAACGGCCTATCCAGTGTACAATATGACCCGAGATCGAAGACCATCACCATTTTCGACAACGGTGTTGTCTACACTGTGTCTGCCGTCTAAGTAAAGAAAAGGAAACAGTGTTACTTCACTCTTCTAGCAAGCTCTTAGGATTTACTATGAATAGATAGTAATTTGAATTCATGAGCCAAATTCGTGTGCTTGCTACACTTCCGCCATCGCTTCCACTTGACAACATCACGGAATTTCATCTCCTTACTTATTTGGTTGAAACGAATTTCAGTTTGGTACATAATTCTTTTTTCTCTGTCAATAGAATAATCTTATTGCTTTATCCATATTTCTTACATATATGAATCATAAGAGATCGATAAGATCGATAGTGCTTAGTAACAATCCATTCCATCTTACTTCCAACTATCCGCGTCGAATCAAGTACTTTTTGTTCTTAATAATTCTTGCCGTTTTCCTAAACTGAATTCCTAAGTTGAACTATTCCAGTGAATCCATCCATTTGTTTTGCCATTTCAACAAAAACTCAATGGCCGTTATAAAACTTGTCCTCGTTCGCAGTAATACACTTACAGTCACATCTAATTAAGACCAGTTTCTCAAGTGAACTGTTCGTTGTCAAGTACGATTAGTATTCACGTGAGGCATGGAGATCGTTTCCGTGTTGATTCTCCTCGTTTTATTCCTCAATAGCCGAGCACAGGTGTCGTTTGATAGTTATCAGTGTGGTGCCAATGTGGTATCGCGACTTATATCGTTCATGATGAACTTGAAGTGTGATCAGGAAGGAAGTGAGTTTTTTCCTTCACAATTTCTTAGTGGGGGTAATTTAATTTGGTCAACATCGGAACTCTTTAAAGTAGCATTTGTAGCGGTCTTATTTCTATATAAGATATCAAACGTTTGTGTTAAATATGTTCCTCTCCCCAACGGCTTGTTCCCGCCTCATCTAGGCTAACAGACGTTCCTGGGTGTTGAATTGCGACGTATAAGAAAAGCCAGCATCCATCCCTCTACCCTCCCGAGAATAATAAGAAGTTCAACGTTAGCGCTTAGAAGCCCAGCTAACAATAAAATAGTGCAAAGAATACTGTTATTCTTGGAAGAAAATATCTAGTCACTTGATGACAACTGGTGACCACCTGGAAGAGAATTGCCGCTGTCCAGACTGCGGAGAAAGAAAACCTAGCCCAATCAGTAAATTATCAATCAAAGAAAAATGTGCTGGGGCTCATATTCGAATATTCATATTCGCGACCACTCAAGACGACTTATTGAGGAATCAAGCTCGACAATATCTTCCATGTCGTCACTTCGAAAAGCAGACCAAGGATAGTATCGTAGTTGAAACGAAATGTCATCGAGCAACTCTACAATTTCTACCTTACTTACATTGATCTTAAAATTCCCTGTAACAACTCTATCTCATCTACTGTTGATGCACTTTTGTGTGAAGCATCCAGAAAAAAAGCGGAAGAAGTTTCTTGATCCGCCTGCCTAAGTAAACATTGAAAGAATACTCTCTATAATTTAAAATCATTTGTTTAAAACAATTGAAAAAATCTTGGGTACTCATGTAGATCACATTCATGAATAACATGCTGCAGTAAGCTATCCATCCACTTTGTTACCCACTTTTACCGTTAAAGAGTGGTGGTTTCTCTTTGCAATGATAATAATACCACGTCTCACTTAGTGATTCGTTCCTCTTCTTTTTAGAAAGTGATAAATGAATGAAAATTGTCGTTTCAACAAGAACTTGTTCATTAATAAAAAGAATCTCTACTCGAATAAAGGAATCGTTTATAGACTACTGACATACCGATCACTTAAACGTCGTTATTTGTATTGGTAACAGTTTTCGCTAGACTTCGGAATTCATATTTGTATTCCGAATGAAACCGTCGCAGGTATTAAAGCATAAAGCTCTCGGCGTTGATCAATCCCTGAGGGATGTGCCATGCATTCGGCCTCATTAAGCATCGTTTGAAGGTGACTGAATGCATATCTGGACTTTACAATGACTCGTGGTAGCCTACCGATGCATCGAACCACTGCCTGTATCCTCCCAGACAAGTTTGGCACCAATTTGCCTACCAAGGAGGAATGGAAGACCATGGGCGCGGGAATTGATTCCACGCGTGTGTCACAGTGGCACCTCCAACGACTGCGCGACACGAGCCCTATCGCAGGTATAAATCCAAAAAATTGTGAGGATTCATTAGCAGAAGAAGCTGCCTTGATTTCTTTATCCCCTCGCAGTGACTTGAGGGCGCGTGTGAGGCAGTGGTCGGAGGCGCCCTGCAACACACACGTGAAATCGATCCCGGCGCCCGTAGCCCACCATGCCTTCCATTCCTCCGGGGTTAGCAAATTGGTACCAGACTTGTTGTGGAAGATAGCAGCACTGAATCGATACATCGGCAGGGCACCGCGAATCATTGTAAAGGCCAGACATGATTTCAGTCACCTCCAACGATGCTTAATGAAGTCGAGTAGAAAGCTTTTTTTTTGCAGTGACCGGCAAACAACTCGTCTCTATCCTGTTTTCTAACAGAGTGGCCATCATCTAGTGAACAGTTGACATCGCCTTCAATGTATTCTCTTTTTGACGAACTTTTTCGCATCGCAGAGCTTCTACTGTATTCCTTTCAGTCATTCGATTTCTTATTCAGCAAAGATATAATGGACGTAGGCTGCAAATCCTCCTTCTTTAACTCAACATTATCCACGAAACTGCTTTTAGGACGAGTTCGTTCGTCAAGCGTACCTATACAATGCTCATTGAGGTTCGTAGTTTGAGGAGATTTCTCCAGAATGTGTCAGTAACTGGGTATAATTTCACTTCGGATCGATGATGAATCATGCTTATCGAAGGTTAATATAGAAAGTAGTAATAGGCTAGACTAGAATATCACTCGTTATATCCTTAATGAGCAAAAGTAAAGTCGTTATCTTACCTTTTATTCATGAGAAAAGGTGACGTTTCGGCGGATCTTCTCTCTCTTAGAGGCTGGAAAGGTTGTTAACCGCAACCTAGTCAGCCAAACACCTCTGTAACCTCAACAGAAAAACTACGACGTTTAATTTTCAGTCGCATTCGGTATAAAAAAGCTTCCTCATACACCCATATCTCTCTCTCTCTCTCTCTCTCTCTCTCTCTCTCTCTCTCTCTCTCTGAGGAGATAAAAGGAAGCATCTTCAAGTTGCTTTTTGTCACCTCAATATCTAACTCATCAAGAAGTACAGACTGTGCACCCTTGTCACTGCAAATAGCCCTACGTTTTTTAGCATTACCAGCTCTCGCATGCCATCAACTTATTGCGTTTCTACGAGACTGGAGGGAAACGTCGTTACCCGGCAATGATTATAGGTTTAAAAATTTTCTCGGCAAATATCCGAAATTTGCAAAACTTGAATCCCAGGCCGAATCGAACCCTCGTTTGCCCTTTCGGGAGGCTCAGGTGTCACCCTCTGCACCATTGAGGATCTTGCTTTAAATTTCTGTCAGACATTTTTCTGTCTCACGGTGCCATGAGCAATCACCCGTCTAAGAGAATGATCTGGAGAGCACAAATCGGCATTAAAACACAAACTGAGACTATAGTCGAAAGCACAATGTTAACGTTTTGTTTGCTGGCTACTACTATTTTTCACCGCAGGATATGATGTGAAATACACCCACTATGATGCTGAGATATTTGCAAAACTTGGAAACCAGGCCAGATCGAACACGTGGTTACCCTTTCCAGGCGATTCCTTGTAACCTTCTACAGCACTGAAGCAGATTCGGTCTGGTTTAAGGTTCAACTTTTGAAAATATGTCACCATAATAGTGATTGTATTTCACATCATACCATGATGTGAAAAGTAATAATGGGCAGTAAATAAAGCTTAGTATTATCAAAACTCGCCAGCGACTTCATTGTTGACGTTTTGTTGCCTAAAGAACGCCAGAAAAAACGGCGGTAGTAGTAATGTCCTTGTTTGTTCATTCCCATTTAGTGTTGGACTGAACACAAGTTGCAGGATATAACTCCAAATATCGATTTCTTGGGAGACTATACTGATATATAGTGTTTAATAGCATCTGTACTACTGCAGTAATAGATTGAAGCCTCTTCGATAATTCCATTAAGTTTCGAATTCCTCCTAAAGTTCTATAGTCATCGAAAGCCAGTATTTTTCACCATATGCTGGCATCCATGTTTGAATAGCGCACGAGCTTTAGGAAATCCATATCGGACCTAAAATTATATGTTAAATGATCCCACCCGTTAACAGTTGGTATGAACATTATTGCAGTCAACGATTGCTGTTTGCGTCATGATCAGTGCTACTCGTCCTGTGCTGTACCGCAGATAGCGTGTGACAATGAGTTCTGCGCATGTCTCGGGACTATACCTGCCACTCTTCACTGCCAAAATAACTTAGCTCTTCACTGCAACGCCGTACATTTGCTCGGACACAAATACATCTGTCCATTTATGGCACAGCCTCCTACAGACTAAAAGTAACTCATCCATTCACGTCTAGTAACTCATCCATTCGTCCGTCAATCCGAAAAACCAACGAATATGTAGTCATTTCTTGGGTTATATTATTCCATTTTTAAAAAATACGATCAAGATCCACAATGGGGATGAATGTGGGTTGTAATAGTTTATGTATTACAAAAGCACCGATGAATCTTGCCAAATGTGCGCCAACTATGACCTCTACAATCACCGCCTGGCTAAGTCGAATTCATGCTGTATTCATAATTTGGACTTTGTTCAGCTAAGGCTCAGATGAACAATCTGTATAGATAAATTTTAGTGGTGTGAAATTAGGTAAATAAAGATTAATGTCTTACGTGTTGCGGTCAGCAAGACCCACATCGGAAGAAAGAACGACAGTGGACAATAGAGCGAGATCAACCCGGCTCTGAAGAAGGCGTCGGCGCCGAAAACTTGGTCGAATAGTTTCTTATTAACTTCATGTCAGTTTATCAATTAAAAGAACAAATTTTGATTAGTCATACCGAGGTTAAAAGAAGGTTGGTTCTTGGAATATCAAGTAGGCACCTCTTTAGGTTGTTAAGCTAAGACGAAGTTGATAATGATGCTTCTTCGGCTAACGTCTCGAGATCTTTGCTTTCATCAGAGCCGATGATCCGAGTCGACGGTCCACAATCGTTCGTCTTCTAGATGTGGTGTCTTCGTTGTCACCTATTCTTGTTATCCACGGATATTCGTTATCAACAACAACCGTCTGTATAAAAGAGTATTGTCGGGTGAGATTGCCTCGTTCTATCGGTGCTCTGCTGAAGAAGAGTAGACTTGATACGACGACGAAGGCACCGCATCGAGAAGACGAACGATTGTGGACCATCTACGGATCATCGGCCCCAATGAAAACAAAGACATTGAAACGGGAAAAAAATGGGAAAAATATGCCTTTTAGGAAAATTATAAGTCTTGGTAATTTTCTCAGCCTTCCACCAATGTGAAGCTTGTGGTGAAAAAAGTTCCCTTTGCAGTTCAAAACTTATTGTAGTTGTTATTGAAACCATATAGGTTCCCACGTCTCTGGCGGAACACTTCTAGGTTTTCTACGATCCTGAGTGATAGTAATGTCAGTGTGCTCGCATACCAACACATGTGACTTCCAGACTTTGCATATCGGACGGCTGACACCTCGCGGTCCGGTCTCTGGACAAATAGTGATTAGATGCGTATCGGGCCTAACAGTGACTTCCGGTCACATGTCGATGTATCACCCGGTGGTTTTCCTCCCAGACAAGTTTAATATCAATCTGCAGATACCGAAGGAGGAGGAAAAAGCTTCGTTAGAATAAGGAGTGGGTTTGAAACGACGACCACATGCGTACTGCAGTGCATGTCTAAAAGCTGCGCATGGGCCTCCAAAAACACGTCCTCAGGAAAGAGGACGCATACACACACACGGACATCGAGCGCTACTAAATTCTTTGCCCATTCGGAAATTACAATGTGAGATCGCTTGTGCACTTAAATAGTCTGCGATAATCCAATCAAATTATGAAGATAAGATGTACAAAATATTAGACTCGGCAAAAAGCCTTAGAACATGAGCTTCGTAAAAAATCACTTTTCTTCTAAAAAGAGCTACAGGACATAAGCGATTTCGTTTTTTACACTCTGACACCAATCTGTCGATCCAGAGAAAGTGGCGGGGTTGATAATGAAGCTGTAACGATGGAGGATAACTTCGAACTGATTTGGCAACCGCTTACGTCTTCAATATGTTTCCGCAAACTATCGCATCATACTGGATACGATTTGCAACCGCAGATATGTCTTCATGAAAGAATGTTTCGAGCTTCGGAAGCACTGAATCCTACCAAAGGATGGAATACATCGTTTAACATCATGTTGGTGGGAATATTATATTTAGATCCGACCTTTTAATTTGATTTACTACAAATCGAAATGCGCTTTGAATAACAGCCCACACTATTCTCCAGAAAAGACTGCAATTTTAACCATTTCAATTCATGCACAACGATGAGGACATTTTGGAAAACTCTAACCCGAGGCAAGATTCGAACACGCTACTACCCTTTCCGAGTGTTACTCACTGCAGCACAGTGGATCTTGCTTTGCCATTCTTCTAGGATGATTGCTGATGGTATCTTAATTGATACTTGATACTTGATAATTGATGACCCGTACTCACTGGTTGTACGGTCCACAGCATAGCCTCCTCTTTTCGGGAGATTTGGTGATGGCATTGTTTGGGTAAAAAACTGAAGAAAAGCAAAGGTCTCAGTGGTGCAGCGGGTAACATGTGATCCCTCGGAAAGGTTAATAGCAGGTTCGAACCTGGCATGGAGAATGAGTTCTGCAAATAGCTCAGCATCATTGTGGCTGTATTTCACATAATACCTGCAATGAAAAAAATGTAGTCGGCAGTAAACAAAAAATTAAATATTTCTTTTAAATCCTTAACCTAGAATTAGAATGGATTACATAGTACAAACCTTACACATAAAAACTAGAATTGAGATCTAGATAATTACATGTATTAATGAAACAATAATGGCCTCAACCCTTATGCAGGTCTCACAACCATTGACGAAATATTTATTTAAAAAAAGAGAGCTTCAGAAATCCCGTGCAAAAATCCCTATTTAACACAATTTGCTTTAGCCGGTTATAGTCAGTGGATTTTAGACTCAAGATCCGTTTACGCACTGAAAAACCATCACAATTGAAAGCGTCCTAGAACATCTTGCCCACATTGACCTCGAGGTCAAGAGATGATCGCTATCTCAGATACTACTGTTTACAAGCAGCTTCAAGAAAGCGGCAAGACCAAAAAGTTCGTGACTACTACAGTTTTCATAATAACAGCAATCTTTTACGGTCTCTAGCGACAACTGCATCAGCTGTTTGAGTCCCAAGAACTTATAAACCTTCATTTGTACAAAACTTGAATAAGAGTAAAGTGAAATTCCAAACTGTCAAGACCATGCTTGATAATACAGGTTATTTAGACAGGAAGGCTACTTTCAACAAAGCTCTAGGCTTTATAACATTCATTAGTGGTGTAATCTCTGTAATTTGCACCATTTCCTATCGAATGGGAATTTCAAAACATATTAAGAAGGCGGATCACCAGTTCTTCGTGTCCAGAAATTTGTCAGACTCTGCAGTACAGCTCCAAAGCAAAGATGAAGACATTGCATAATGGTATTTCCAATGATGTATGAACCTCCAGCTTACACTTCGTATTTTTCATAAGGTTTTTTTTTCCACATTGTACTCCTTATATACAACGAAACAAACTTATGACACATACAGCTCCAATAAATATGACAATGAAAGATAATGGAAGACTTTACAATCTTCATATAAGCTCTACGACGTGTAAAGCTTTCCACCATGAGCGATCACCATAAGTCGTCCCACACACTTTTCATACAAAAGCGCTTCCTTCGGTGACAGATTTGTGGGTGGTTTCGGTACGAAAATTTTATTACTGGCATTCGTATTATCTGCTACCACATCGGCATCCTGTCTCAAGTCCAGTTCCAGTTTTTTACGAGCTTCCGATGGCGAAGGAAGTTCAGAATCCCTATTTTTTACAAAAGGACCTGAATTGATTCGTGTATAATACCCAGCACAATCTATATGATCCACTGGTCCCTCAGGAAATTCTATTATGTCAGGCTCAGGTGGTGTGTCTTCACGAGTACAGGGTGGAGTGCTCGATGCCATTTCATCCGCTCGTATCGTCAAAGAGAGCGTCAGATCTGCACTTCTCCTCGACGATACACAATGGTGGTGACCACCGATTGAACACAGGGGGTATTCACACTCTGTAAGAGGCGGAGTGGGTGAGATGAGAGCTGAACGTTCAAGATCATCGACCCACTTTTGACGGCGCTGCCTTTGCAGAAATTCATGAAATATGCGAGCGGTTTCGTGGGGATGCATGGTTTGGAATGCCTGCTGAATATCAAATGGTATTGAAACATTAGGCTGAGGTGGAAGAGGAAATTGGGGCAAATACTGAAAGGGGAAATTCAGTGATGCCTGATGACGCGGATAAGGTTGCTCGTAGTACATTTGTAATGGAGTGACTTGAGATAACTGTTGAATAGGAATATTCGGACGATGGACTTGAGGAATATTTGGCATCGCTGTACCATTGTTCGCAGCAAGTCCTAGTATTTCATTACGTTGTTGTAATGCGTGAAGATAAGCAGGAATCTCTGTCATTGGCCCAAATTTCGATTTTATATTCGGCAGTGGGCCTACAATGCCGAGATATTCGCGATATTTGTGATAAGTAGTGAGTTCTGGCTGAAGATTTCCCCGATCTTCGGTAATCAGCGGCTGCGGTCGCCCTACAAAGTGCCGGGCCGGACGTTCCAAGGCTGTGGAAGCTTCAGCAACGGCTGAAGCACCCAGAAGTGGCCGTAAGTCCCTCACTTCTAGTGTTAACTTATGAGAGCTATAAAGTACCGGCTCCTTTATCTCTGTTGGTTTCATCTTACGAATGTCTTCAAGAAACTGAGCTTCATCGACAACGACCCTTCGAGGACGGATGAATGGTTGTCCAGGTTTCTTTGCAACTTGCCCAGCTTGTGAAGCATCTACTTTAGCACGTGGAACCGCTGGCTGATGAGGTGACGCTTTTGGATTAAAGATTTTCAAAGTGGCCCGGGGCACCTGGAAAAGTAACAACTATAGTAAGTAAAGTGATTTTGAAGAAAAAACACCTATGGTAAAACTTTAAAAGCAACAAGAAGTGTGTGCGAAGTTTGGAAGCCTTCCGTACATGTGAATTAACCATTGTCAATTCAAATAAACACGCATTCTATGATACTAGAATCATCAAGACATACCACACGAAGAGGAAAAAGCGACACAGCTTTCACCGACTTCAAGACATCTTCCTCACGAATACGATGGGAGTTTTGCGATTTTGTTTCAAGGCAAACCGCATCAATTAGCTGGAAACAAGTGTGATTTATAGAAGCTCATGAAACCTCCACTAGCCCACTCACCAAAACATCGATCACAAGTAAAAGTCCAGCATAGACGAGACTATCGGAATAATTAAAGGTCTAGCTGATATCTACTATAAAAATCCTACTGCATACCGCTTCAAGTAGGTCATCAGAGTAGGACACAATAGCTCTCTGAGCTTGCGGGCTTAACTCTCTCCCAATCATGTACGCTGAGTGACGAATATTGTGCTGGAAACAACAGCTTCTCTTCGGATTCATCAACTTCTTTAATAACCCTCTAAGTTCTCAGAATAATTTATACTTGTTGTTTAACGAAAAAGTCAGAACCTAACAATATGAAGACGAGATGGACTGCCACTATTAAGTACATAAAAGTAAGCAGCATTTCAGAAGAATGTACTGCATAGATCGAAGTAAAGCTTCATAGCAATCCTTACAGACGGGATAGAACAGACCGCATAAATAATCGCTGAAGAAATGACATGGTAGTAAGATTCTAGTCCTCATTTTTACCTATGGTAGAATAAAAACTCTTAGAGAAAATTAACCAACTGACAAGCCAAACACAAAATTGCCAGAGGTACGATTTAGCAGAACGATTCCACTCGAGATTCTTATACTTCGCAAAACAATGACTCTTAAAGCAAACTAACCACCTAAGTAACTGAAGTAAAATGCAGCAGCTCCGATGGGATGTCACTTCGAACACCACTTCCTGCTATAACCACGTAAGAAAATAATTATAATGCACAAAATATAGTAAGTTAAACACACGAAAACAGTTAATGAAAAAAACCCCTCCAGAAATGTCTGAAAACTAAGTGAACCACATCAAAGAAACTCCGGAGACGAATTTTCATGACGGCAATTCATGTGTATTGTCCGTAATCGCTCACATTAGGAGCGATCGCGAACGGGTTGAACCCCGTTGGAAAAGCTGTTAGTTTACTTCTCCTTTTAGGGCAGTGCTTCATCATTTGTTTTTCATGGATTTTCAGAGAAATGAGCTAACAAAGGTAGGCCTTTATGGTAAAATCCGAAATTCGTCCAACAAATGCGTCGAATTGGACGGTTTTCGTTGAGATTTGTTGTCTTACGAGTTCTCTCTGCTTAAGCACTTATGCGGAATACTGTACTCATCCAGAGTTTTCTGGATTATTGTGTGATCGTTCTACTATTGTTATGATTTAAATTTCATTGCTCATCCAAATGTTTTCATATTTAACATAAAAAGCGTTTATGTTTTCAACATCGGTGAAACTTTTTTTGTACCCTAATCCGTTCGCATAACGGGTATTCGGTTTGTCTTCTGTTCTTATCAACTGATAGAATGTATGGATAAACTACTTTTCCACAAATTTGCCATTACATGTTTCCAGAATTGTATTGATTGCGTCCTGTAGACGCAACATTCTGTACTCGTCACTTTATTGCCAAAGTTTAAAAGTGAATTATCGATTGGTTTTTGGTTTGTATCGATCAGTTGCGTTCTGTTCGACCTTGCTTTCCTATGAAAGCCGTAACATTCTCTCTGTCTTTTTTTTTCTTCGCAGCACATTCATGTGTTCATCGCTAGTCGTCCGATCGATAGAATTAGGTCACCTCTCTGCTCCGAGAATTCGCGCGCGTTTGGTTCTTTCTCGTATGATTAATTCATCTAGAACCATTTCTGTCATCAGTTAGTTTTCAGAAATCATTTTTATTCACCACTTGTTCATTACGAGCATAGCGATGCTAGATATGAGCAAAACGCAGAACTTCAGGTGAACTTCAAACGCGTGATTTTCTTTGCGGAGCTTATGTGCTATTCTCCATACTAACCGAGGCTCTTGCTTTTTCAATGAATGAGAAGAAAGAAAGGCTGAGAGAAAGATGAAGCAGTGACTTCGGTTGGTGTGATGGATAGCACGTGAGTCCCGGGAAATGATGATCGCGGGTTCGAGTCCAGTTGAGTTCTCAGTTTTGCTCGTTTCTCATCATCTTCTTAATTGTCTTTCACATAATATTTTGCCATGAAAAGGAGTAAGCACTGGATAAAGGTTAAATCATTGCGATTTATTCATTACTTACGAAGCAGCAGTCACCAGAGCATGACGTCTTTTCTTTAAATTTGTGCAAAGATCACTCTTTTCTTATAAATCTGCTAAAATAACGTTTTTTTTGAAACTGGGTACATACTCACTTTAAACTTACGCAACGACGTGACTTCTATGGAAGTCATTTGGTACGAAAGTGGTAGGCGCTTTCAACTTTAGATCGCCTTATCGCATTTCGTAGTGAATGTCAATAGTAGAATGGTGAGTGAAATTTTCGTAGTGAATGGTTACAATAGAATTCGTTCGATTCGAAGAATCTTTACCTACGTGGTAAAACTTTTCCCGTTCTACGGTATTGAATATCTGATCATCAGGAGCTCGTAACATATATTTCCTGCATTTTGTTGCTTCGAAGCTCATACTTCAGAAACGAAAGGAAACGAACAAGCGGGCTTCTGTCGAAAAGGCCAAGATGGTCTTCATTAGGGTGTCGGTCGTGTTTGGAACTGCTGCTCTTCCGTTGTAAACTTTAAAACGATGAGATTATTAATGAAAATATCCATTGGAATTTGAAAGGACGCTTTACAAGAATTCTAGTCCGATAGGGCAAAGTCACTTTTGTGAAACTGTGAGTTTCTGAACTGTTGAGATACTATGGAGGTCGAGAAATCATGATTTCTTATTGAAAAATGAGGTTCGTCGTGAGGATGTCAAACGATGTTTTCTTCCGTTTTGTTTTTCCTCGGCGTGTTATAATATTTTCAAAAGCTGTTTTTTTAATGTGGTGGTTGGTCAAATTCTCTGTTCTAAATCCGTTTGTTTATAAAAGTTATTGAAGTTTTACATGTCTTACGATTGTAAATTGTCATCTTCATATCAAAGCATCTCAATACATAGATGACCATGAGCCGTATACGACTCATACGCGTATTTATGTCGCTGCTGCAGAAACGTATGCACTAAGGTGGTGTAGCGTAGTTATTAGAAGTGTACTACAAAACAGACGTAGTCGTTGTTCTGACCTTGCGCTCCGAGCTTGCGGTGCTAGTGTACTGACACGATAATCGTTTGGAAAAGAAATAATAAGATATAACCACACGTTTTGTGCAACAGGCCCCTTGAAGTCATTTTATAGGTCAATTATGCATTCGATCACCTTTACGGTGCTCGAAAAACGAGTATTTGTCGCATTCCTCAAGGATTGTTCAACGCCGAACGATTTATCATTTCAATTCTTTATATTTCTGTTAAAGCGTCTTTCGCTTGGCACAGGAATGAAATATGGAAGTAAGTTAAGGTGAATTTTTAGAAGTGTGCCATTGTCAGTTAATGGTCAGTATTGTTAATGATTTAACACTTACGCGCCGACGTGACCTTTATATAAGTCATACAATGCGAAAATAATGGTAGCTTTCAACATTAAATCAGCATGTTCCAACTCACAATGAATTTCACTGACTGCAATAAAAACTGTTATAGTCTACAAAGTTTTGCCCACTGGTTGATGGGACTCACACATGCATTGCTTCCGCTTTATTTTGCGTCATGGCTCATACTTTGTGCAAAGCAAATGAACAAGCGGGATTTCATCCAGTACGACACCATGTAGCTCCCCAATCTATCGTTTATATTGGCAGCTGTTGCTCTTCTGTTGAACATTTTAAACACTTGAATTTCGTCATCAGTTTATTGACAGCTTCAACTTTAAGCATGTTTTAGACTATAAAGGTACTGTGTAAGAATTGCATAACGCAACAGTGGAAGGTATCTTCTGGGAATCCGTAGAGTTTGAACTCCTGAAATGCCGCAATGAGCGAGAAATTATTGTCAGTTTTCGAAGGCCTAGTAGCTTCGTCGTGAAGAGGTTAGACAACAAACCAAGAATAAAAAGAGGTGACAGAAACATCTACAAGATCAGATTGCATTCACAGGAATATTTCACCTGTTATTTTTATGCAAAACAGTGCGCGATTATTTGTCATAACTTTGCCGAATGCTCGATGTTACGATCGAACTCGTATTTCCATACTTTGCATTGGTTCGTAAACTCAGGCAGTAGGCAACCTCATTCTATCATATTCACGTCAATTATATCAATATCCCTCCCAACAGTTTACCGCCTCATCGTGGCTGGGAAGTGCTCCTGAATGTCGGGCTGCGATGTACAGCAGGGGTATTCATCCCCCTAACAGAGTATTCCATGCTGAAAAGGAGTCTGGCGTTTACATCCGAAAACTCTGCCAAGGCTGAACCAATACCAATACCAGGAATCACCGCCGTCCTGTATCAAACTAGGCGCATGGTGCCAAATTTCCCTCAGATCCACAAGGGCAGCGACTAGCTGTAGCAGTGACGACCTAGGGCAGACTTTGGCCAGGCTGTGCTCGGGACTCCAGGGAACTACAATGGCTAAAGCAGCAATTCTACGAAGAATGGAAATTATGCTGAGGCCCGCACAACCAGTGAAGATGGGCCATCCAAGTACATCAATATTGGAAATAGATTAGTGTATTTCTATGCTTTTAGTGGTATGCTCATCGATTTTCTTTCATTTCCACAACGGATTCTTATAAATTTTCTGTCATTAATCATTCATGTTAGTCCCACGTTTTTTATTCCTCTTCAGTGAACCTTCTGTGGAAGAAATAAGCGACACTGTCGTAGCTTTTCTCTGTTTAAGTCGCTTCACTAGGTTTTTATAATGTGAAGTGTGTTATTTGTTGACAGGAGAGAGAAGAAGTATTGCTTTAAAGAACTGCACAGACCAGTCAAATTTTACGTTGATTTAGAGCCTTAAGAATGTTCAAGGAAAATTCTTAGATTGTTTGTTTCGTCGTTGTTTTTTATTCTGTTTTGTAATTCTTCTCTAACACTGTTTCACATCATTTTTCGTACGTTTGTTGATAATCGGCTTAAATCTGCCACTGATTTAAGTCCGTCTGTTTAGTTGAGAAGTTTTTCACTTCGGTAAAAGTCGTAGTCGTAGAAAAAGAGGCATGTGAGAAGCGGTGGGAGTGGTTTCAAAATATTTTGAATTGTCGAGGTCGTTGTCACTACATTTCTTCATCTTCGATGCCCTTAAATGTTTCGAAGCACTCTGTTTCCCATCTTAAGCCAGTTTACTTCATTACTTTTTCTGATTTGGTTTGGATAACGAGGTGAAAGCAA